AAGGAGGTTTGATAGCACTGTCCCCTTACCTAATAAACCATATATATATATATATTATGTACTTAATAAATATACGAACCATATTTAGATATACTGGTGCGTTTTGTATAAATATCTGTGTAAAAAGGAAGTTTTGAAAGGTACCTTAGAATAAATAACATAAAGTCCTTTGAAAAATGAAGTTCAAAATATAAATTATTGTTTCCAGTGTTTAACAGTGAAGTTTCCATACAATATTGTTTACAATCAAATTTTTCATCATATACAATGCTAATGACAATAAGTGTATGTAAACAATGATAATGCAAATAAGCAGTTATTCAAAGAACCTCTTGCAACTCAAAATATCTTCGTCTAAACTATCCTACGTAATAGTTATTAACATCATTAGTGATATAATAATATACTACGTTCAGTTCTACTTATTTACTAAAGAATGTAAGCTAGAACGCACAAAGGGATGCACCATATCAAAATTGATTAACTTTAATCAAATTTGCTAAGTGTTATCAAGATTTTTACTGAATTTTCATAATATAACTTTGAAAAATACAAACTTATCAAAGTCGCTCCTGCTTGCGCCAAAAACGCGGAGAATTTCACATTATCATTATCCATTTTACTGTCAGCCTTCACCAGTTACAACTTGAACACTGCACTCTTATCTCATTATATCATTTCACTTCTAATATCCATATGTTTAATACTTCAACCATTCTTTATTGTGCTGGATTAGACACTCTATTCTATTTACATTGTTTACTAACGACTCACCCACGCTTCACTCGTGTGCGTTTCTGGGCACGCTTTGTAGTATACAATTTCGTTCTTATTTTTTTTTGCGCTTCTTTATCTAAAATAAAAGTAGCCTAAGTTACTCCTTATAACAACATCTATCTACCAGTGAAACTCTCTTCAAAATCGGTCTAGCCGTATAATGAGAAGACTCCCAACTGTACACAGTTTACTTTACACGTTTTTTAAACTGCAAGGCAATAAAAAGTGGTGCATGAAGAGGAAAGGCGAATATTTTTTGAACAGACAATTATTTCTTTCCGTTATAGGTTTATCTCTTTCTCATTTCATTTTTGGTTATTTATATTATTTATTCAATACTATTTATTTCCAAACATTCGAAGGTATCCTATACATATATGGACTTCTCGGGAGCTTTACTTATGCCCTTTTCTAAATCTAACTCTGACGAAGTAATTTATCCTTTTACTTTATTTAGGTTCCAAGAAAAAAAATCAAAGTAACGGAAAAATAGCAACAGCAACTTAAATTAGCGGATTGGTGGGCATTGACATTTTTATTAAACACTATATTCGTCGTAATCAAATTAAACATTTTTCTATTCAACTAAAAAAAACATGAAAAAATCATGTTTTTTTTCTGATTATGTATTTTTAATAAAACAAACAAAAGGTCAGACATTATACATTTTACATATATACTTATTACTTAGTCATCTTTAATATTATTCGCCCTTTGATAGATATCACAAGATGTACATTGAACGAGATGTGAAGGAGTTTGGCTCTTAAATATATAGCATTTAAATATAAATTAGTAAATACAAATTTTCCTATTTGGCATACCTTATACACGCTATTATTATAAATTACATCTCCTGACAAACAATATTCTGATAGTGTCATCTTATTTACTTTTGTACTGTTTGTAGCTTTGTCTTTAAAATAAGTATGTCTATATTCGAAATGCTTCTGGTAAAGTATAACAATAATTATATAGAAATAATTGTAGTTAAAAACGCTTTTAATTTAAATAATAAGATGATAATGCGCGTCAACCCTGAAGTCGTACCCCGAGTGTCATATAAGTTTGTGTGATAGTCGGGAGTGCCTCACCTGCATCTCACCTAACACGCCTCGCAATGGGCTGTATGGTGATTGGCAGAAACAATCATACTGTAGCATATCGAATGGTGGAAGCTCATGTACCCGCTTGATCTTCTTTCTCCTTTAAACTTACTACTTAACATCAAGGCTTATGCTTGTTTCAAAATAAATCCATTGCCAATAAACTAAAATGTAGTATACTGTCGATTTCAGGAACAATGCGAGTCACATTGACTACGATACTCATAAGTATTAAAAACGGTGCAGTATGAGGCATTACTATGAAATCAAATCTAATCAAAATGTCCTTTATTCGAATAGACTTTTACAAGAACTTTTGAATTGTCACTTTTTACATTATTAAAATTTAAATTAAATGTCAATATATACTATATAAGTCTGTGAGGAATCTACCAAAAGTGTTGCCTTATTGGTCTAATGACTATAGCTATAACAGATCATAAGGTATCTACCAGATATGACTAAAATACTTATATGGTGATTTCTGTTTAGCAATTCTTAGTATAATCAAGATATTTGATTTTTAAAAGTTCTAAGAGCACATAGTAAATGAATAAATAAATAAAACTTTATTAGCATAAGTTACATTTCTTTACAATAAGCGCAGTGCCGTTTCTCAGTATATAATAGTAGTCTATGGTGCCGTTGGTGATCTTCCTCTGGTCCCATCAGATTTTAGATCCTCCACTGTAGGAATGAAAAGTCTATTTTTTGAATGCACTTGTGTTCGTGAACTTGAGCATTATAATATGTTATGCGTTAACAAATGTTTGACCTAATTAGATTGGTCTCAATTTGCTTAGAAGTTTATCGGATGTTATAAATTTATTTCTCTTCATAATTTTTTCTGTCATCAGTACAGAAAATACAACGTAATATTCAGCAACGTGGCAATGTAGATTGTTATATAAACATAGTTTACTATCTAAATATTTTTATATTATTTGCTATATTAATAAAAACCTGTCTATATTATAATCTTATAGGCTTTGTTTACTTGCTATTACTTTTTATTTTATTTTATTTATTTACAGAATCGTGTTTTTTTGGAAAAGATGTATGTACAAATTGATTTTTTTCAGAAAAGACTTAGATAAATAAACTTAAAAAGCGAAACCTTATCTAAATACAAAATTGGATCCAAATCGTTAGAGCCGTTTCCGAGATACACGAAATAAAATGAAAATCGACTTCAAAAATACCACTAAAAATTTAAAAAATGACTGATTGATAGTTTCCATTTACTATAGATGCCTAATCAGATATGTTCGATGGCTGTGTGCTTTAATTTGTGTCGGCTGGCACCGATTTGAAAATATCTGATTAGGTGTCTATAGTAAATGAAATCTACTAAGTAGTCAGTTATCTTTTACTTTTTAGTGTTTTTACTTATCAGTCGATTTTTAAGTTTTTATTTTTCTTTTTTTAGTGTACACATAGTAGTAGCAAAGTAAGAATAAAATATTTTAATAAAATATTCGCATAAGCCGTTTTTAAGCTAGTTTGATGATAATTTTTATATAACGCTTGACATATTAAAATACGCTTTTTCTAAAATATCAGGCTCTGAAATCCAACTCTAACGTATTGGGCTTGTCAAATCAATCAAAATAACTCCAAACTTAAAGTATCTACTATTAGCTGTTGAAGAGTTCCACCTATCCATCTTCTGGTCTTAGCATCAGATCAGGTTCACTATACCGAATCACTGCACTAGTATCCTGAATGGAAACTCTTGCAACGTTTCAAGTCAATATGACGATTAAAAGTCAGTAAATTAAGTAAGTAATTTTATCAAATATCTTGATTATATTTCATTAGCTATTTTTTTCAAATTTAAATATGATTAAACTGGAAGCATACCCTTTCAAAAAAAACAAAAGTTGATCAAATCGGTTGATAAATGGCGGAATTCTGAGGTAACAAAAATAAAAAAAATAAAAAAAATACAGCCGTACCGAGAATCTCCTACTTTTTGAAGTACTCCTATTTTGAAAATATGTAAACACATATACAAGAATCGCTCATTTAATGTTATAAGTTTTTATATTTAAACATTCTATAAATATTAAAATGTAACAAAACATAATAAAGCTGAGGATTTGCACCTGCAAAACAGATTTGGAAAAAACTTTTTACGAAATGTTTTATATATGTCGTAGGAAAATTGTAAGATTATTATCAATCGTCTCCTTTTCTTACAGTATCACGAGACATTTTTAGGTAAGTTATAACTTCCCTAAGCATATTCAGTTTAATTGTAATTTACCTAGTGAAATTATCGTCGATCAGTGAATCGACTAATCAAAACGTTTTTAGAACCAAAAACAATTTCGACATAGAGCTCACTTACAAGTGAAAGCATAATTTAACGGATCGTCCAATTTCTTTGCGACATATAATTTACATAGATATATATGAAACCATTTTATGGTGAACGAACAGGAAGCAAACTTATAGGCTCGTATTTTTACTCAATTTATGATATTAGTGTGCTTGCTTGGCAAAGGATATTAGAAAAAAACTATATTGTTTCGTATATTTATTTATTAAGTTTTATAAAAACTTACATTATATTTACATTATATCCATATAAATACTATATAATATAGCTAACAGTAAAGTGAGTAATCATTCATTTTCTTTCACAGTTTATTTGAGAACTAGGATTTTTGAAAAAATTAACTAAAAATTATACTTTTGATTAACTATATAATTAAAAAATATTATGTTTTTTTCATTATTCTCATTTTTTTGGGCAGTGAAAGGTTTTTTTAATATTATATCTTAATCTAAAAGCCATATACGTCATACCGTTAGTAATAAGGTACTTAGCTATTTGCCTCTTCTAGCCGCTTTACAAGTACTTATCAGAATGATCTGTCCTAATATCTACAAAAATATATTAATTTACACCATAGATGTTACAAATTATTTAACATTTCTTAAAAATATACGTTAATACTGAACTAAGTATAAATTCAATGCTAGATATAATTTTAAATAAAGGAAATTAGTAGCAATATACTTTAATATAAAGACAATTTTCTTAATGTGCTTTTAAGCTAAGTTGTACTTAGGATTGCATTCCAATAGATAAGAGATTTTAGTTATTTATGTAAATTTGACAGATCCTCGCGATCTTTGCCAGCAGAAAGATACAGCCAGAGTGCTCATCAAAGAACCAGCTAGAACTAAGAATCCTCCCCATAATGCAGCAGTAGAAGAAATACATATACCAGTCTCTAGAGGCAAGTCTTCTGCAAAGACTACTCTCAGACCTTTTTCGATAGTTGTCACAGGCTCATATACGGTACGGTTTCCTACATGTATGATATCACGTCTTTTCCTTCTCGGTTCAGTGCTTCCAGGGTTTTCGCACATTTCGCAGTTTGTTTTGCACAATTCAACATCACATTGAATGATCAAGTCCATTTCATCAGGGAATTTAAATGCATTAAAGAAAGCATATGCGATAATTGAAGCCCCAGTATTACCAGTTTCTCTAGTTTTCTGGAATGCACCGAACAGTTTTGGCTTAAGAACACAACCGTTAGAGTCTGTTAAAGGTACGACATGATTGTTGCTTGAGTCCCGAGCTACACATTCTCTTACTATTATATCAAAACCAGCATCTCCACTTACAGATACAACCAAAGTCATAATTTCTCCAATCTTCACTAAACCATTTGCTTCAGGAGCGAAAGGTCCTCGACCGGTCTGAATATCCAAACGTGCCATAGCTGTATCTCCGCTAAAGTTACTTGTGATTTGATTTAACATACCAACACTCAATGACGAAACCAACTGCTTAGTTAAATTTCCTTCCCATAGACATCTGACTCGGCGAATATGATCCCACACCTCTTGAATACCAGGTTCATTTTGAAGTACCAAGACATTTTCGAGATATGCTTGACCTTCATTTTCGAAGTCGCTAAAGAATCTCGTGCCACATTTATTAAGACTTACTGTAAATGAATATTTAATTTGATTTGAGTTTTCTTTCACGTAAACACAATCAGAATCCTTGAAATGGTCTTGTGAGTAAATGATGCCATTATAAACTTTATTGAATTCGATATTAATAGTCATCATTTCTTTACCACAGTCTACAGTGATATCGTGGATATGAGGAGGATGGCGGTCTTCGTCTTCGGGATTGATAGATGGTTGCTGTTCATTATTACCATTATTGGTTATTTCTTGTTGTGGCTGATTTTCTGATGGTGTATCGACAGGTTGACTGGGCTTGTATGATGGGGAAGTTGGTTGACTTGGCTGGTAATTCGGCTGTGATGGTTGACTAGGTTGATAATCAGGTTGGCTTGGCTGGTATCCTGGTTGGGGAGACTGACTTGGTTCAAATGGTTGAGAGGTTTCATAAGGCGCCTGGGATGGTTGACTTGGCTGATATGAAGATTGACTTGGTTGGAAAGGTGGTTGATCTGGTTCCGTAGATAAGAGAGGTGAGCTAGGTTGGTAAGACGGACTTGAAGAAGGTCCTTCACTATAAGATGGCGTTGGGCGGTTGCCAGACGGAGGATAACCTGTCGGTGGAAGGTAAGAAGGTGCTGGTTCAAATGGCCTGGGCTTGTCTGGCTTGCCTCCAAAGTATTGACGAGCTAAAAATTAAAAATATATATTAACATTTAATATTAACAGATTTAAGATTACTTAAATAATAGTGCAATTTGGTGACTATTCGTGTTTTGTGTTTTATATAAGCAGCGTGAAAAGCGTTTAACATTGTGATGTGTGAAAGTGTATTTATTATTATTATTCTCTTATTACATATTCCTGCAAAAGATAGTAAGTATGTGGTCATCATTTTAACATAATACCTAAAAATTCTCTAATTATTTCTTCAATTTCTATAAATACGTCATAAAATTGTCATAATTATGTCTGAGACACAATCTAAATATTGAACAGACCTTTTCTGTTCTTCTGTTGATATAACCCTTGAATCCATTGTAGCAGATTTTGGACCATTTCATCAGTATCTGCCTGCTGTCCTGGCTGAAGATCAGCTGGAAATCACTTCATCATCAGACATAATATCTGATAGGGGAGTTCCATCACCAGGATTATTCTCGGTTAAGAGAGAAGACCATACCGAATCTAATGTCCATTTTGTTGTTAGGATATTTTATTTTAGAAATAAAATGTTATAACTATTTAACTTATTGTAAACGTTATTTATTTTATAGTCGGCGAGATCATGCATTCATGAGGAAGATCTATATTCTACTTACTTGAGTTAGTACATAGTAAATAATTGGTAAATTATAAAAAGTATTCTAGTTTATATTCAATTAGAATATACCCCTTTTGAAGCCAACTTATTCGTAAGAAAAGATGGAAGATGGTAGATTAGAAGATTAACATTACCTAAGAAGATATATACATACTCATAGTTAAAATATCTTTTTTACCATGAAAGTTATTATAAGATATTATTTATTTTATGAAATCAAAACTCGCCAATTTGGGGATACTAACTTCTTAGTATACTATAAAAGGCATACTTATATTGACGCCGTATATAGAGGGATTGAACTGGCATGTATTGAGGGGCTGTAGTGTAAAGCATAATTATACTATGTAAATATTTCTAACATGTATATAACATAAATCAGCCCGAAGAAAGGATGGGAAAGAAATATTTTGGTTGCTATGATGGAAATCTTGAACTTCACTCTCAAATTTTCTTCTTTGATTGTATCATTGTCAATTTTCGAACGGTCCCCCTTATCACCAAAACATGCCTCGAAAGATATATAATACAAAAAGAAGATAAGAAAAGAAAAAGAAAGATAACTAAAAAAGATGAGGAATCCTAGAAATAATAGACTAATTCTAAACTAACAATTTTTATAAATTATGTACAAAGAATCCTCTTACCAATCAGGTAGGAAAGTTTTTGTACCCTTTTTACAAATTTCGATGCGTGCTTAAAGTTTAATGTTATACATGTCATAAAAATGTTTTATCTCTGTTATCCATACTTAATATTATAAATATGAAAGTGTGCTTGTTTGTTTGTCCTTCTTTCACGTCACAACAGAGTGGCGGATTGGCGTGATTTTTTGTGTACAAATAGTTGGTAGGCTGGAGAACGACATGGGCTACTTTTTACCGCGGGAAATTATGTCATTCCCGCGGGAAAACACATTACAAAACAACCCAAAAAATATTTATGATCAGAATTACTTGAAACAATAATGCTCTTCAATACAATGAAATAAATACGTATTTTAGCATTTTTTGAAATTCATCCCATATGGGGATAAAATAGGGAATGAGTTTTAGCGCGAGCGAAGCCGCGGGTTCTGCTAGTATATGTATATTTGCTAAAGTTATTTTTCCCTTCTCGCAGTATCGTAAGTCCTACGCAGTAGTATGATTTGAAAAGATGTAATTTTTTATTATATAACTGTTACTTTTTGAGTTATAATACTTTAAAATATTTAGTTGGTAGCCAAACTGCTTGGGCCAGTGTAAGTGATATTAATGCGTGTTATCAGCGAGTGTACTTTGTGAAATATTTAGACATATTATGATGGCTTATTATTCCAAAGATATTTAATTTCTATACAAATGATTCAAAAAATATTATTTGTAAAACTTAGTCATTGTTTTCTTTTTAGGTAGACATAAAAATTCGTGTTAAAAGTAATTATATATTATTCGCCATCATAACACACCTTTTGGATTTCATTAAAATGATATCAACAACCACGTAACCTAATGTGTACGTACCAATCCTAGGTTTTTTCGGGTCTGTAAAAATATTTGCATTAAATATGTATGTATTGAAATATTTTTTTATTAAAGCTTTTTATAACAATTGTTATATATCATATAAATATTTAACTTCTAAATCATTTATAGAAATCGAATAATATTTTGAAATTGAGATTCGATTATAATTCTTAAGGCATATTTATATTTAAAAAAACATTACAAATCGGTTCACAGTTAATTACGGTATTGAGTATTTTGTCTTTTTTGGAAGTCGGTGAAAAAAAATTACAATAATTTACAAAGTTCGTAAAAAAAATTGAAATTGTATTTATTTGGCTTTAACATAATTGTTAAGAATATTACCATTGTAATTGAAATTTCAATGAATATGAATGTGTCATAAATGTTCATTACCCATGTACTAATAGTACGAGATCCCGATTTATCTGGTAGAACCATCACCTTTTCCAGGCGAAATATATTTCTTAGGCAATAAAACATACTTACAAAAATAACCCTGGGGAGTTGTCACCAAAAATTTGCTGAAGGTACTTTTGTAGATATTTTTTTTTTCAAGTATAAAAACTCTTTTCCTGTAACAACTTAGTATCAATCGGAAATAAAAGACTTGTATAAAATGGCATCATACGGTTGGCGGCTTTTTTCGAATCCACAGTACCTGACATCCAAGTATAAACAGGTAAATTGAAGTAGGTAATTGCTCGTATCGGATCGTATTTTCCGGAATCAACCAATTATTTTATTACAACTAATAATTTTATTACAAATTTAATGAATGATATACTAGAAGATTTTTAATTAAAAATATCTTGGAACAAATTTTTGGTGAAAACTCCCCTGGGTTGTGTTTGTTTGTTTTATGGTTTAAAAAATATATTTCGCGTGGAAAAATAGTGAGGGGTCCATAGATCGGGATCTTAGACTATAAATTGAGATTCATAAGCACGAGCTTTTATTAATAATGCTCGTAATACCTAATTTCCCAAAAATATTTTTATGTATATGTTAGTATCAAGTTATACATATGTATATAAAATTATAATAGTTGTAACTAAAAAATTAGAATATCTAAGAGATCCATCTGTAGCTTTAATTCAATAAATTGTTCTAGACTTAATTGATTGTGTGAACTGCAATTGAATTGAAATTACAGCTAGTATTCTTGAACGTTTGATATATTTATTAGAATAAATTTTCCTAATTTTTGTGGGCAAAAAGTTAAATCATCTGTAAAAAAATCTTTGTTTTTAGTACAGATTGCAGAATAATAAATTTTGACTTTTTTTTAATAAAGTACTTACGAAATCTGGAAGGAGTGTCTATGGCACTGGCGCAAGCGACAAGTGCACTCAGCGTCAAAAAACACCACCGGACCATCTGAAATAACGAGATTAGAAGAATTCATTAAATTTTTCAACTTTTTCCCCAAGTTTTTATTGTTAATTTTATAAATTTAAAATTAGGACCTACATACATGAAATTTTATTCAAAATAATTCATTACAAGAAACAAACAAATATGTATAAAATAACAACCCAAAAATAAAAAAGACAGCTAAATCACAAATCCTGATTTTTTTAATTTCTTATCTAAGTTTGTCTAATATTAGCTTATCATTCTGTCGGTACATTAAATAATTAATTAATAGCCCGACGTCCCACCAATGATGTTACGTTGCGTAAATCTCAAGCAATTGTGCATTGTACAGGTTCGATTCTCAGCGGACTTATCGTTGGGAACAATAGAGCTTATCAAAGCTATGTTAATTGGACCTTGACATGGTAATTTTTTCACGTCTTCCTAGTTAATTTAACTAAGTTTAGTTTAAAAGTTTTTGTTTAATTATAAAGTGTGACATCTGTTTTATTTGTCTTGAAGTATTAAGATTATAATAAATAATAATAAATATGATATTAACTCACAGCACCATCTAGTTCCATAGTAAGCTACGAGGCTTGTGTTATGGATATCAGGTAGTTGATACACTATACATATATAATTTTAAATACATACATATTATAAATATAAACACCCATGACTGGAGTACAAACATTCGTGCTTATCACATAAATGAATGCCCCCAGCGGGACTCGAACCCGCGGCTACTGGCACAGCAAGTAGGGTCGCTACAAACTGAACCAAACCGGTCGTCAAGGTACGATTAGGTATATAGGTTCATTTCTTACGAGCAGGCAATTGACTAGTCAGCGAGATGCGTTAAATTCCGCCCAATAGTTTTTCTACATTGCTTTACTTTACTTTTACGTCACAATTTTGTATAATTTCAAAAAGCTTTTGTGTGTATTTTACACGATATATAATAAACTATTTTTATGAAATCAAAAAATATTAATTTTAAAGTGATTATAAAGTAGATGTACGTTTTTAATTTATCATGTCTTTTTATAAAAAATCGATAAACATTTAAATTTATGAATACAAATTGCATATCTATACATAGGCTTAGGAATTATTAGAAACTAGTAGCATAGCAAAACTTAAAAACATAAACTATTAAATCTATACATATTAGATAATTTTTTATAGAAAATATTAGATATTTTTTGGAAAATAATTTAAATATATTGAATATGAATATTTAAATTTATTGAAATAACAATACATTATTATCGATACAGAGGCCGAATCTATAGTTTTTAGAATTTTTGTCTGTCTGTCTGACTGTCTGTTACCGCATCACAGAAAAACCACTGGAGAGATTTTGTTGATTTTGGTATGGTGATAGCTGGTTATCCGGGTCAACGTATAGTATACTTTTTACCGCGGGAAAATATCTCATTTCTGAGAAAAAATACAAAAACTGCAATGTAAGATTATACTAATATGTAAAACCTAAGAATTTGGTTTTTGGTCATCAGAACGCGGGCGGAGCCGCGGGCAATGCTAGTATACAATAATTATTTAAATAAAATTATCTTTTACGGATATTATTTTAATGTCAATAATACTTAGAATATTTAATTCGTGACAGGCGTAAGTCAATCCAGACCGAAGACCCCCTGCCAATGAGTCAGATGCTGACATCTCAATCTCTCAATCGCTTCATTAAGATGTACATAATATATAAGTACATAAAACCAAAATCATGTTTCATTTATAGTAGAATACTTTCGAAATCACAAAGTCATTATTAGAAAATAGAAAATTCTTATTTTATAACAGTTTCGAGTGATTTTAGATTAAATAGCAAAGGTTGAGTTGCGCAGACGAGCGGGTGACATAGTTTTTCATATATATATTTTTTGTTTACTTTTTTATTTTACTTATTTTTTTTATAAAATTGAAAAAAAAAATTAATTGTTTATACTTCTATTAAAATTCCATATTATTATAATCCCACTATGTTATGTTAAATAATATTATAATTGACATTTAGTTTAAGTAATTAAGCTAATTTAAATAATTAATATATTTTTATATAAAACCCAAGAATAAATAAAAACGAAAGTAAGACCTATATTGTATAAAATTATTATATATTTCTAAAGTTCACGCTCGTCTGCGCATACGCATATTCACATGTTACGCAACATGTCATAGCCATCATACATTATAACATAGTAAAGAAGTGCGATTTATGTAATTTTCTTTGTGTACTTTGTTAGTTACTCAGACGTTTTGGTGAAAGGGCTTATGTCATTATAATAATCATTATTAGCTATCAAATTGTTTTTATGGAAAACATAAATCAAAATGTAAGTTATTTAATCATTGCACAGTTACTACCTCTAATTTGTAAGATAAGATGAGATATGATCTATTTATTCGCCTAATACTCGCCCCCTAACGTGCGTTCACCTTGTCGTGGTGGAGAGGCTCATTAGCGTCCGGCAATCCAGCCAGGGCTTTGGCTAAGTAATTAAAGCCTACCTATTGAATACATACCTAATCAAATATTTTCGAAATCGGTGCCAGCCTATACAAAGCAAAGCACACCGACTTCGAAAATATTTGATTAGGTATGTATAGTAAATGAAAACTACCAATCGGTTACTTTTTAGTGCTTTTGTTTGAAGTCGGTTTTTATTTTTTTTTGTTAAAAAGTTTTTATTTTTGTAGGGAAATCAGAGATTATCGCGTTTAAACAAACAAACGAAATAACTCTTCAGCTTTATATATTAGTATAGATTATATGTATCGCATCGCATATAAAATTAATACGAGTTTATACTACACAACTTGATTTAAAACATCGATTTTTCTTTATTATTCCATAATGAAAGTTGATGTGGATGTTTCGTTAGTGCATATAAATAATTAATAAGGATATGAAGAGATTAAATATCGATATTTTTAATAACTAATAAATGTTTATTATCCATAATGATCCATTAATATCTCGTCTCTTGAGATTGTCTTATAAATTGCTTAGTTTAAAATTAAAACTAATTTTGAATTTAAATTAATAAATTTTAATTTTGAACGGTTTTTTCTTATTATGTTTAATTTTTACATACATATACTTTTAAATGTTATATAAAATTATAAGAACATATTTGTAGATTTTGTTATAGAATTTCTATTTGTAACCGAGTTGAAAAAGACGAGGTACCTGCTCAATTTTTTAATTTTATATTTTTCTTATATTTTGTGTACATAGTGTGTTAAGTGGTAACCAATTCAAGAACTGTGATTTAATTTTCATAATAATTTATTCAAAAAAATTAAAATATCCTCACAATTTCCTAAGTGATTTGGAAATCGGAGTACGTTATTTATTTATGTAATTTCACTAAATGTCATCCAAATCCGTCCAGCCGTTTTGGCGTGAAAATGTTTCAAACATACAATACACATACAAACTTTCGCATTTACCTAATAGTAGTACATAATGCTTTCATAGATTTACACGAATATTTGACATTTTAAATAAAATTATCTTTTCGAATTATTTCGCAGATTTATTTTGATTTTTGGTTCCCGACGTTTCGAATGCTTAACAGCAATCATGGTTACAGGAGAGAGCATTCGAAACATGGGGAACCAAAAATCTAACTAAATCCGCGAAATAATCTAAAAAGATAGTTTTATTTAATAATAGTTAATTTACAACTTAAGCTATGGCTCAGTAGCTGTTACATAGAATATCTAATACATGTCGTCTGGTAGAAAATGTAAACAAACAGGAAGACCGGAAGCTTACAAACTTTCGTTGACTTTCTCTCAATATCGTCTAGCGTGAGAGCATTTCCAATTATTTAATGTAAGGATCGATGTAGCCTTTGTTCAAACAGTACATAACATTCATCTAGTCTTATATGGAAATCTATTTTCAATATTCTATCTAATTGGCAGTGTGTTTGTTTATCATTTGCACAGAACAAGAGTCTTAGGTGAGTAACGAATTACGCATATATAATTCTGCAATTTTTATCTAAGAACGTGAAAGTATTCAGCCTTCTTTAGCATCACACTGCTGGGCAAATCTCCCTTCAATGCTAGGTCAGGCCATAGTCCACCACGCTGGCAAAGTGCGGGTTGGTGGACTTCACATGTCTTTCGAAAACTTGCTAGGTAGGTTCTCGCAGGCATTCTGGTTTAATCACAATATTTTCCTTCACCGTAAGACAAGTGGTAATCAATTCGCACATGAAAATGTCAGAGGTGCAAAACTCTAATTTGAACCCGCTTCACTCGGTTTCTCAAGTGAACGCGTTACCACAGGACTACCACTGCTGTTTAAACTATTATATAATATTGTATACCAATTGTCACAAATAAATTGTATAACACAACACTGAGATTTGATTGGAATGTATCTTCCTTATAAGGAAACGACTTATGCAATATAACCCAGTTATGAATGATCGAGTTCACTGTTCGTACAATATGTGAATGAACGTATTAGTGTTCTCTAACTGCGATGGTTTATTTATTGACTTGTGGTCTGCATGTAAAATTGCATCTGCTCTCTCATCAGATTTCTTGTGATTACCTAAGTATAGAGTACCTTAAATGTTGATAAGAATTTTGAGTACTTTACCTAGCCTGCCAAGCAAAATAGAAGTTTTACACTTTCACCCCCATTTTCACCCCCTTAAGGGATGATTTCCGGAATGAAAATTATCTTTTTTCCTTCCCAGGGTCTTGAACTATCTTCTTACTAAATTTCATCTAAATCGGTTCAGTAGTTTCGGAGCTTATTCGATACAAACAATCAAAGAAACAAATTTTTCCTCTGTATAATATTAGAATAGATTTTTTTATTTAATTTATTATGTACTGTATATTGTATTTTTTTCGTTAAATTTAGATGGGGTTGTTCTTGAGGTAATGAAAAAAGTATAGATGAATACCAATTTCCAATTGGAACGACATCGCGTAAAATACACAAACATGCATTTTTGAATATAGAA